CCGCAATGGGGGCGCCCGCCGTGGGACCCAACGGCGGCCCCTCTCCCTCTTCGTCTCCGCCATCAAAGAAGGACCCCGATAAATCTAGACTCTGGGAACGGATAGCCAGTGAACGCGCCGCTCGCTTGGTGACGCCGCCATGACCGAGATGGAGAAAAGCGCGACAGCCAGAGATTAAGGGGCGAAAGCGAAATCCAGAAGGCAACGAGGAGGAGAAAATAATGGTCGATGTGCTGGAAGCCATGGCTTCGGTGGAAGAAGGGAGCACTGGGGTCTGTATGAAGGATAAGGAGCGTGTGTAGTCGAGCCCTGAGTTGACCGGGCCAGGCCGAATTACACATGGGCTCGCAACTGTGAAAGTGGGGTTTGGCCCGCTATTTGTAAGTGTTTGGATTCAAAAAAACAAGTGGTCAAAAGAGTATAGGGCAAAAGAAGTGGTCACTCGAGCTAACTTCACAACAAGAGCATTGATATTGAATGCAATCTAAAGTGCCAAGGGGTAAATATAGCAACAAGCCCAATAAGATATATGTTGGTCCGTTAGAAAGAAAATGTCCAATATGCTTTGTAAAGCACTAATATAAGAATGTCTTCAATCACTAAAAAGAGGTAATATAAGTACATGATGACATAATACTATTAAGTACTTAGCTTTCTTCAGGCTATCTCCCTTTCTTTCTTTCTTCTTACAATTTCTTCATTGTATCTAAGCAGTAGCTTGACAATATTGAGAATCATGAATTCTTCCCTCTCAACTTCATCTCAACTCAACCAGCAATCTACTACATCCCTCAAACAGATGAAGGAGATCAACATACCTCTTCTCTCGAGTTTTCAACGTTTCACATCAAAACCATCTCAATCCCACACCTTAATTTTGAAAAGTACGCGATATGGAAAGCTCTTATTGAATCCAAATCGGTCATATAGTTCATGCCCAATGAATAGAGTGTAGAGACCGAGAGAGAGGGAGAGAGAAAAAAAAAAGAGTGATGCAGTGGTTGCTCCCATTGGGGCAAAGTGAGGGTGTTCTTTTAGATCGGACCCATTTTATATACTGAAAGAAGTCGTTACAAGAGAAGGGGAGAGCGGTGACTAAATGGCTAAAAAACCCAAAAAACATGAGTCCCCTGACATGAAAATGATCTTCTATTTATAGATGATAAAATGATAAAAAGTATAAAAATTACATATTGCCCCTGGGAGTTACAGGTTATTATTATCTTTATTGACACATTTTTATGTTTCTGACACCTTTCAAATGTTTAGCATCTTTTCGTATATCTGACACATTTTCTTATATCTAGTACATTATCATGTGTCTGGTGTTTTTTTGTATATCGGGCACATTTTCATATGTCTGACACATTTTCATTGTTGGATCTATCTAGCGAGCTGGTCAGTCGGTTGGTTGGGTCAGTCAGTCAAATGAGGTGAACAACCATTCTCTGCTACCATCAGCTCTCATCTTGATCAACGCGGGTATTTTTCAGACATATATAAATAGCCCCAAGCCTCTCACTTCTTAGAAATAAAGTTGTGATAATAATGAGAGTCTTTAAATGCAAAAAATGCAATCAATGTAATGTAATAATTATACTCTCTTGATTTCAGCATTCTTAGTGCCTTATTTTCTTCAACCCTGAAGTGCTCTCCTATGACCTTTTCGAGTTGATTTTTTATTTGCATTTACAGTAGGCTAAATGATCATCAGCTAGTTGTGGTGACCTTCAGTCAGTCTTATTTGCTTATATTTTTTGTTCTTTTTAATAAAACTTGTATTCGTCGGCTTGTCTATTTATATGTCACGTATGATTCCATTTTTCAATTATTTTTTTTTATCGAACCATAGAAATGATCTAAAAATGAGAGAAATCGAAAAGAATGATATACGATGGAAAATAAACAAACAAATTTAATAAGAAAGATGAAAGACTTATATACAGTGATGCCCGTGTGGTAGGTCGAGAGTATACTTCCAAACAAAATCAGATCAAAATATCTTAAAACACAGTGTCCACAAATAGAATCTCTACGTAAGTCATCCATAACTAGAGAATAAAAATATATATTTTATGTTCAAGAGTACTCTCAAATGAATGTATCTCATTGGTTAATTACATCTTGGGGTAGACACAATAATATTCTCGATATAAGGGGTTTTGCCTACATTATTATGCTAACTCGTGGATAGATCACTAAAAGAATAATTATTTAACCAGGAACAACTCACCACCTCAGAAGCCTATATTGAGTCATATGGAAGAGGGTGAATCGCTCATATCCACAAATGGACGACGGCACACCTATGAGAAAGGATTAGGAAATAATCAAGTTGTCTTGACATGAACGTCCTTATTCTTCAAGACCTGATTGGACCATAGAGCAAAGGGAGAATCACTGTTTCCCAAACAAGCGGAGGCCTATCGACAATAGGGATTGATAAGATGACATTTTTTGTTTTGTTTTAATGTGTCTCTATGGTTCTTGGGTTCCTCCTTCAATGACCATGGGGGAGCCTGACATGACTTGAGACAAGTTTGGGTGGCTTCCTATAGTATTTACAAAGGCATGTGAGTGATTTTGGATGAATTAGTGGTGTCCTTCCCATTTTTGGAAGTTTTGACCATGGAGGCTCCAATGGTGGAGGAGAGAGAATAGTCATGGCATGAGGGCATTGGAGGGAGTGGAGGTTTGGTTGCTGAGCTCAACAATGGTCTACCTTAGCCAAAGCATGAAAGGATTTGGGTATGGTGGACTTGGATGCAAGTGTAGTGGGGAGGGGTATGTGTGATCTCCTTTGTCCTTTTTTATTTTGCTTTTATTTGAAATTAATTTAATTTATGTCACGTTTCACTCATTGTCCTGCTGTGTTGAATTGGTTCATGGGTGTTCATGGATGACCCAAGAAGGATAAGTAATGGGCTTAGGTCATGGGCTTAAGGTTAGGGCTAAGCCCCTTTCATGATGATTTGGATTGTAGCATTTAGGCTAACCTACATGCCTATGCTAATCCAATAACTTAGATCCTAACAGGTCTTTATAAATGAACTAATTAAATAATTAGGTAAATTAGAAGGGTTGACCACAAAATGTCAATGTTGACCCCATAGGTGCTTTAGTGTGTTAACCTCCTTGGGTGGGGTTTAATTAGTTTGGGTTTAGCCCAAAGCCTATGTCTAATTAAATTTAATAATTCCCTTAGTTAATTAATCAATTAAATGAATTAAGGGGATTGACCTAATGATACCATTTGGGTTCATCACATGGTGTGGCATCATAACCAAGTTGAGTGAAGTCAAATGGATAGGGAGGTAGTCAATTGGTCAAAATTTGACCAAAATCAGGGTTGACCCATTAGATTTGACTATCCCATTGTGCCACCAAATTTTGGGGTCAAAAGAGTGTATGAGGGTTTACGTCTGATTTTTAGGATTTGGTAAGGTTAGGGAGGCCTCTGGAGAGGGTTGTCGGCACTATTTTTGGTGTGGGGTTTGCCCGTAAGAAGCTGTCGGTCATCGGAATTTAAATCCTGTTGCCCGCTTCGGAAGGACGTTTTAAAAAATTTAGTTTTGAAAAAGATGAAGTCAAACTGACCCCATAATTTTCATAGTTTAGATGAAAGAGCACTTTATCTCAAATCATGTATCTATCCCGAAGGATGAACGCAAGAATTGAGAGTGAGGCTCAATCAAGTAAACTAAAGAAAGTTATGACATCCGGTTGGTCTGCGAAACCAATATATTGGCCGACAAATTCCCCTATTTAATATAAGGAATTAAATAGGGTTTAT